TCCTGGCTCTGTGAGAAGAGGAAAAAGACAGATTTGAGTCTAGGTTGACTCTCTGAAGGAGTAACCTCCTCATCCCCCAGCTTCTTACTGTTTCCCAGCTCTCTGAGCAAGTGCCATCTTGCCTTAATTCCTAAGCGTTTTCCACTTTGGCTGTGTTCCCCTGCATCCTTGATGCATAGTGCGTACTGAGACTTCTTGTGGTGGGGGTGGAGGGGTGAAATTACAGTCATCCAGTAGATGTGGCAGTATCTTGCCCTTAAAGCAAGAGTGTCTGATTCTTAGGGTGCAAGTCCTGGGCAATACATCTTGTATCTACTTTTTAGGCAGATGTTCTTCTGTCAAAAAGTATGCCTTACGGGGAGGGGAGGGGAATCTTTGCCTTTAGATGCCTTCAGCTAATTGTTAAGAAAATATTGATTAATAAATGTTTGAGTGAATATTTTTTCTTTAATCATATTTATTTCTTTTTGTATTGCCCTGTGTGTTGTTCTGTTCCTTGCTTTCTTCACCGGAAAATACTGTATTGACTTGCTTCCTTCTGTGTTTAGAAGCATTCAGGTTCTTTATAAGCCTTTGTGCTCCTCTTCGCAATAAAAATTGAAAAGAGGAAACAAACTTCCCCGTATAGCAACAGTCTGGAAATGTAGACTTCATCATTAAAAGGACACAGAGTAAGAGGAGTCTTTGTAGGTGGAATCGCCTTTTCGAATTGAATAACAAATAACATTGTGTTATCTAGGAACTTTTTTCTATCTAGTATAAAACTTTTTTTTTTTTTTTTTTGGCACCTGTGCTTCTCTGACAGTTACTGGCCCCCTCTTTTGGGAGAGTAATGTTGTATCAAATAAAAAAAATTCACAGCAAAACACAAAATGCCTTTTTTTAATCTGCTAAAATGTTAATCAAAAAGCATCAGATGCAGATTTGTATAACTCACATCCATGGCACTAACACAAAGCTGTCTTGCTCTTTTATAGCTGGTTCCTGGAGGAGAAGGACCTGAAGTATAAATTGATCCATTTGTCATCTATGAAGACAAGTTATATATGTATTCTAAATAGAGCTCTTGGGGAAAGGGGGTGTGTGTGTGTGGTGGGGGAGGGGGGTCGTTGTATTTTGTTTTTACACACTTTTGAAGTTGATATTTGATAAAAGACAAATTTCCTCTTCAGGAAAGATGCATTGCTAATGCTGACTTTGTAAGTTGAAATCATGACTTTCTTGTAAAGGCACACTAATCTGTTCTGAATAAAAAGCTTTGTTTTTGTTAATTTCTGTGCTTAGTTATGTAAGTGCACAAGTTTGAGATGCTTTTGCAACTGTATCATGAAAAGGAAAATAATAGCTTGTGTTCAATTGCTGTCAATCAGTTTTCAGTTTTCTGTATCTGTTGCATTTCTTTATTTCTCAAGTCTTTAAAAAAGCTCCTGAGCTAAGACATAGTACTGCTTGGGAGTACAGGCAGACATTAAGCTGGACAGTTTGTTTAAACAGTACTTGAAGCTGAATCATCTGTGACCAAGGTAAATGCTCTGAAGTGTAATCGAAGTCTGAGAAGTTTGCAAAGTGGTTGTATGTTTTTGAAATTCAGGATCCTCTGGTTCTTCAATAGCCAGGGGTTGAAAGGGACCTCTGGAGATCATTTGGGTTCAGCTCTCTTGAACTTCTTTTGCTTAGTTGATCCCCTTCTTAGGGTAGCACTGGAATAATCATCATTAGTAAGAAAAGACCAGGCCTAGTTCATGTTCAGGAAGAAAAAAGGCTGGTTTTTTTACAACTTCTCGTGTTACTGGAGACTGCCTTTTCACCACTAAGTGGTGCTGTGCGTATTTAAGTTAGAAGCTGCCCAGCCTTGCTTGTGTGGTTTAAGAGTAGTCATTTCAGAGCAAATATATTCCTTGGGGTGTTCCTGTGATCCAAATGGAAGCATGACAGATATTGGAGGTAATTTGTACTTTGGGAGAGATTTCATAAGGTAAGGAACTTAAGCCAAAACTTAACCAAAAACTTGGTGTTTTGATCACCAGTTCTTACTACCATTTTATCATCATGGACAAAAAATTAACATGATTATAAATTAAGCTCACTGTACCTTATGATTCCATAATGTCCTGCTCTACTGATTTTTGTGTTTAAGTGTCTCAAGACAATCCCAACTGCCTGCTGGAACTGCAGAGACAAGCAGGGTAGTGTGTGGACTCTTAGGAATAGTAAATGCCTTCCTATCACTAGAAGAGGGAAAGAAGAACTGAAGAAGGGGCTCAAGGAGCAAGATATTGCAGGGAGGTTGTATTAGATCATTTTATTCCTTTTATCCATCTCTGTAGGGGGGGAGGGAGGAAATTTGGCTTGTTGGGGCTTATCTTGAAGTATAGTGGGAAGGACCCATTTTGGCCTTCTAAACAGGAACGTCGTCATCCTCTTCCCTTTCATGGAAACACCCTACATTATTAAACCGAAGAGAGATTTCATGCTTAGGAGAGAAAGAGCAAATCTTGCCTCAAAGCAACTTTTCATAGGCAAGGGAAACTTGTTTTCTTGTTGTTTTGCCAGCACAAGTATTCAAGTATTACATTATCTCTGGAATAAAAATTTATTTTTACTTCTTGTCCGTGGTTAAGCTTCCCCCCCACCCTTTTCAAAGAAGGGCTAAGACTATTTTCTCCTAGGAAGATATTCTGATTCAGGACTTTGAAAACTGCAGACATCAGTTTAAAGACAATTTTTATGCATCCAAATGCTGTTAAGACATCTACACTACAAAAGGTTTGTAACTTTGAGCTTGAAGTTCAAAACACATTGGACTGGAATTAGATTTGCAATTCTCATGCAATATAGTACTTTTTGCTTTGAAAGAACAAGTAATAAGCTTTCCTAGTAGATGGACAGTGTTTGCTTTTTTGTTTTTTTTTTTTTTTTTAATTTTGGAAATCTACTATTTACACTAGCAAAATGATTAATATGCTTTAAAAGTCTTTGAGACTGTGATGTAGTGGCACCCTAAAGTAGCTGTCTGAAAAATCAGTCAGTCATCTAAAATAGTACCTGAACCTTAGGTACTGGTTTTAGACGTATACACTGCTGTAAAAGTTAAAAGCAAGGTTTTCATCAGATTAACTTTATGCTTCTGACATACACTTTTATTTTGTTTCTCATTTCCTCTTACTGGTGGCATGGACTGCAGTAATCTTTAATTTTCCTACATGACTAACAGTACTGGCTGGGCATATGGATGTGGTTCCTTTCTGCCTTTTGTCTTCTTACTTGCAGAAATCTGAATTTTGGTGCTGGAAATGTTTGCACTGTTTGTCTAACTATATTTTAAAAAAAGAAAAAAATCCAACTTGTAACCATTTTACTGCTTGCCCTATGACTATATAGGCTTTCCTTGTTTAACTCCTATTCTTTTTTACGGCATTCACTGTGGTTTTTTTTTTTTAACTATATGAAACAAGCCAAACTCCTTATATACTGGTGACTTTGACTTATATTTTTCATGCTTAGAAAATTGCACAGCAATTCTGTCCTACAGGTTCTGTGAAACTAATGAGCACTTTTCATGCCAGTGTTCAAATATCACTCTTAAATCAAGCTTGTACAGCCCATGATCATAGATGTATGAATACTTAATGTATGTGATAGTGGTGTGGCTTTTTTTTTTTTTAATAGTGCTTTATTTTTTTTAATTTCCTCCCCAGGAACTATAAAGTCGGTCTGTTTGTATTACTTGCAGTTTTTCTATATTAGCAAGTTTTGAAAAGGAGAAAAATTATGGATAGTTATTCACGATTATGATGGTGATTTTAAAATGCTAAATTAATTAATCTTAGGAGAAGCATGGGTGACAATGAGAATCAGCATTGCTAACATTTGCTAAAACATTTCTAAGGGAAGTATTTGCTTTATAAATGATACTTGTGAACCATTTCTGACGCTTTTTAATTGGAAAAAGAAACACACTGTTGTCTGATTATGCCAGATTAATTTCTTTTCACATGTGAAAACTGATGGGAAGAGAAACGTGCATTTGAAGGAAGATTTTGTTTACTTGGGCTAGTTAAACTGAGAACTCGCTACTTTAAGAATAATTTTAAAATATTTGGAGTTGATCAGTAAAATTGATCAGAGGCTCCTGTATCAGCTGTACGTCTGGAATATAGTCGGTAGGACATCCCAGATCTTTTTGGAGTGTAATGTGTGCGTTGTCAGCCCTGCCTGGGGTGAGCTGGCAGGCTGTGTTTCCCAAAAGCACAAATGCTCCAAGTGTTGCTTCTTGCCTGGCAGTGCTTCTCTCACTACTGGTAACTCTACAGTTGGGTAAAAGACAAAGTTGCTGAATTAAGTGTTTAGTTACCAAAATATCTGTCAGCGTTTCAATACTATGTTGATCCTTTCCATACAGGTAGTGTTTGCATGTACCTTAGAGAATTAGAGAATTTTAGAGAAGATCTCTTCTTCAAAGCATTTAAACTTTTGTCTTTCACTCTATCCTTGACAATGTTTTGCATACTTTGGATGAAAAAGTTCCCTTTTAAAATAAAACAAGTGGAAAGGAGAGGAGAGAGAGTGTTGTCTGACAATGTTGGAGGCTGCTCTGTCCCCTCTCATACTGACCCCCTCTACCTTCCCAAATCTTTTTTTTAGAGCTCAGGCTTATCCTGCCCTCTGCAATTTTGGTCATCTCTTGAACCCTCCATAGGTAGATAAAGCTCTCATTCTCAGTTACAAGTTTCTTTACAATTACACAATTGTGTAGGGAGTATCGAGTTTTAAGAGTGTCTTGTATGTGACATTTTAAAGTTTGTTTTCAGTGTCCTGAACATTTCTGCTGCCTTAGTGTCTTCATTTGCTGGTGGTAACTGGCAACAGACCCAATGCATATTAGTTTCAAGGTGCTGCCCTGTGTTCTAACAGCTGCTGTGTTTCCGTAGATTGCAAGCAACATGTGCAAAGTATCTTTTCCTAGTAATGCTGCCTTTTTTTTTTAATCCAGAAGATTGCTCCCCCGTGCTCCTGCACAGATGTATTTTCATCTGGAATATTGTGCTTTTGCAGAGTTCTTGGTCTACCTAGTTACAGATTATTCATTTTTAAATGCATATATGTGTATCTGCCTGCTTATATACTGATTATTAAGCAAATGTTTAATAGGCATCTGTTACAGAAGTAAGCTATTTTGATGGGTATGGTGTTTGGCCTCAGTTGTTTTACCATCTAATAAACGTCTGATG